TGTGAGTGTGACGTGGAAGCAACGCTCAAGGCAAAGTCTTGGTGGTAGCAAGCGAGTTGAGACTTTTTGACAGAGGAGGCAAAGAGCGCATTTTTTTGGGAGATGCATTTTCTTCGAGCGGTCCTTCCTGGCTACATGATACTATGCCTAATTTCTTTGCTGCCTTTCTTAAATTCTCTTGTGTTTTGTGAAGAGGCGAGGCCATGGTCTTTGTTTGCTCAGTTCATACAGCTCATACAAAAACAACATGTGGACTGACTCGAACAATCTCTGCAGCGTTTGCAGCACCATGGTTGGATGTGGAAAGGAATCACTGCCTTCAAGAGACTGACATCAATCAAGAATCAAGACACCTATATAAACGGTCAACAAGCATCCGGAACAACTGTTAGGTTATGGCGGCATGGTTGGAACCAAAGCCGTACAATCTCAATTAAAAAGAGCAACAATCCATTTGATCAAGGACAGATTGGTGCCAACAACTTCCCAAATGGCATAGAGGATGACATTGTGAGGTGCTGGCTTTGCTCAAATACTGAATCATAGGTACTTGCTATGGCTGAAGGACAAGCCGTATGGGAAGTGATCGGTGGCAAGGACAAGGGTGGCATTATGGTCCGAGAAGGACGAGGCCTCCGAAGCAAGGAAGCCGCTGAGCGTTTGGCCTTTGCTTCCTTTGTGGAAGAGGTGGAGTTAGTGGGTGAGCGTTTGCACTACAAGCTGATGACCGGATCTGGTCCTGAAACAGGTTGGGTAAGCATCAACATTGGGGACAAGGATCTGTTGAAGTGTATCATCAAGCCACCTCCCAAGCCACCACTCTTTTGTGCCTGGTATTCTGGGGGCTTTACAACAGCGGATGGTGAGAAGCTGCTTTCCCCTTTGATGGATGCCGTTCATGCTGCCGGTGTGGAGAAGAGGGCAATTCTTCACTTTCCAGATGCTTATGAGATGTCGGGAGAGGGCTGGGAGGGCCGAGCGCCTTGGTCCAAATACGTTGACAAACTAGTGGAAGAAATCAACAAGGTTTCTGATTCAGACTCGCAACCGCTGGTGCTGTTTGGTCACAGCCGTGGGGCGGCACCGGCCATTTGCGTGGCAAGCCGCCTGGGCGCACGTGTGAAGCAGGTCTACATCGCCGCATGTGGTGCTATGAGGGCAGGTGAAGCAACAGCTTGGGAAGCCCTGAGCAAGAACTTCAAACAAGGCGGAGATCGAGAGCTCCTAGGCTGGTTTTACAGCCTCCAGCCTGAGAATGTTTTTTTGAAACGTGCTGTTGAAAAGGCAGATGACGAGTTCGAAGAGCAGGTGAACAGTAGCAAGTTCCTGTCAGATATGCTTTCCCTGATGCGGCGCCAATACCGGGACGCCATGTATCCGGATCCCGACAGAGATTTCAAGGCAGTCCCAGCGAATGTGACAGCATTTGCTGCGTTGCTGGATGAAGGAAGCCAACCCGAACATATGGAGGATTGGAAGTTGTTGACCTTAGCAAAGTTTCAGAATGTAAGCCTTAATGCTGGGCACATGGATTGCCTTGCCCCGAACACGGCAGGTAAATGCGAACTCTTTGAATTTTTGCAGAAGGATTTGAAGCAATTCATCTCATAAATGTATGTGCGAGAAACAAGTGGTGCTGTTGCAGTAGAACTTGCACACTGTAAGGTGTGACTACTACATATAATTGTATAATTATAGATTAATGCCACACTCTGACATTGGTTTTCAGTTACTCCGCAGGGAAAATTGATGAGGTGACTTTTTTTATTGCGCCAGGTTTAGGTATCAGGGGCATTCAGGTGTGTTGCGCCATCTATGCGCCCCGTGGCTTAAAAAACAGAAATATTCTGCATGATACTTTCATTTGCCTGATGTCGTAGGTAGTACTGTAAACAGTGATTTTTACAGATTTTTACAGTACTTACTGTAACACTCTTCTTCACAGTATAGCCAGATTGCAGCCGGCAGGCCAAATGTACAGAACTTGGCCATTGGGCCATCTATAGGCACCAAACGTTTTTTGGGAAATAGGGAAAACTAATATCCGCACAGACACCCCGCAGAATTTTAATTTTCTGCAATCCAAAGACCAGTTGCGCCATCTATGACGTCCAAATAGCGAGAAAAAGGAGTTACATGGCGCGGCTGTTCCCGCTATTTTTTTTTTGAGTTGCGCCAACAACTTTCTCCCCGGTGTAGCTCAGTTCCCAAGTGGAAGAAAGGCGAAAGAACGGAAAGGCGATAGGTCCAAGCATTTGAAGGTGTCTTAACAAAAGGTTCAGCTCCTATGCATTAGCCGCTTTACTGAATACCTAGCAGACCGCCTATGCATTAGCCGCTTTATTGAATATCTAGCAGACCGCCTATGCATTAGCCGCTTTACTGAATACCTAGTAGACCGCCTATGCATTAGCCGCTTTATTGAATACCTAGCAGACCGCCTATGCATTAGCGCTTTACTGAATACCTAGCAGACCGCCTATGCATTAGCCGCTTTATTGAATACCTAGCAGACCGCC